TTGAAGGATAAGTTGGTGCAGCAGCAACTTGCTAAGAATGCCAGAGTTGACAGAGTTTTTGATATGCTGGCTTCAGCTTCAACTAAGCCTGGTCAGCCTCCACAGTGATAAAGCATGTTGTCTGAACCTGGCTCTCTTAGCTGTTTTCACTCTGTATTGTTGTTCCTTGTTTTGTTGCCAGAACAATTTACATTGCTCACCTGGCTGGGCGTATTTTGTTTCTATGGATATTGATTAGTGTTGATTAGCCGCTGCTTATGTCTTTTTGATTCGTCAAAATGGGGAAAAGTTATTTGCGCATGCATCAAACATTACATGTTTGTCTTTATCAAAAAGGGGGAATATGATAGAATCGTTAATTCGTTTTGATGATAGACAAAAAGCGCAAAGAACAGTAGAAAATGTACGCAGCGAAAGAAGTCCAAGATCAAGTAGAAAATAGAGTTATTTGTCAAAGTCAAAATAATATATTAAAGGTACAAGTCAATATAAATAAGGAAAACCTTAAATATATTATTAAGGAAGGAAGTTGTGTATAATAAGGATTCTAATTTAAAAAAGAATCCTTGTTTAAACATAACTTTCTTACCTTATTAGTAGGGATTGTACAAGGACAAAACTCTATAAGAAGCACACGAGGTAGAGAAAACATCTACGACTTAACGCAGAGAACAAAAGGGAATTAATCATCAAACTGAGGTCTTCATGATTGATAGGACTGCCACGGACAAAACGTTCTTGAGTTAGAAGGTTTTATCGCGAAGAACTATTTGTCTTGTTTTTGTTCTTAATTGTAGTTTACAGTTTGTTGTACAAAGGGTGGGTTTGGCTCTTTGTAGGGTTGAGTGTTTTTAAGAGTTGTAACAAAAGGTGGGTTTGGCCTTTTGGTGAGATTGATTGGAGTCAATCGAGGGAGTAGTAGAGATAACACTTTTGATTATTGAGTTGTAATCACAAAATCTTATAGTTGAATTAATAAAACGAGGTTTTTCCTTCCTTGAGTGAGGAAGGTTTTTAATTCAATAAGTGTTTGTGTTTCTATTCTGTCTTTACTTAAAAGCAACTTACATGAACCTGGTTCGTGTTCTAGGGTAAGGTTTCTTCATTTATGATGTGTATATTTTTTTTAAAAAAATTCATGTAAGTTTCCTTAACCTTTTTGTCTTTGTGCATGATTTTATGTGGTTCCATGACTAAAAATTTGTATCGGTATTTAATGCTTTAGGACCTTTGTTACTGCCTAGGAGCATCCCCAAATCACCATATGGCGTAGTCGACCTCTTGTAGGTCTAATACAATCCTCTTATAAATGCATTCATTACATAAGTATGAAAAGTAGAGCAGAATTTAGAACTTTTGACAAATAAATTCGAATTTTCTATTATAAGACATAAAGAAAGAAACTAAGTCTAACCATAAGGCATCATAGACTCGAACATTAGGACTAGCAAATTAGGGTCATGGACCTTACAACAATTTGAAACCTATAGTCTAATACAAAGTATTTAATGAAATAAAACTATACAGAAAATACATGTGCTTGAACATATGAGGACATACCAATCTTGAGAGGAATTTACTTGCCAAGTTTCTACTCTAGGAATCCTCACTTAGCACTATCTATACTTGTAGACATAGATTACTAATGGAATTAGCACAACTGATTTTACTAAGTATGGTGAACATACAAGAAAACAATGCATAAAGGGTTGTTTAGTATATTTAATGAAAACTTTACTATAGGAGTCCATGAGACAAAACACAAGTCCACATTCACGTATAAAGTAAGACCACAATCATTAAGTAACCCAATAATCTATTTAGACCCTCTACCTAAGGTTAGCCTAATATCCACCTAGGTAAGCCAAAAAGAGACCGTCCATACAACCTCTTCAATACACACATAAGTGTTCCTAAAGGAATCCTACGTAAGAACCTATCCAACTCATACATACTAAGTGAACATCATTCATTTAAGCTATTTAGGAGACAACTAAACAACTAGGGAACTTCACATAATGGTCTTAGAAGACCTACGAAACTAACTCTACCATCTTCAAAGCCTACTTGTGCGATATGTAGATAGCATCCCAATCCACTACATAAATGTTATAGAACCTATCCAATAGCTAAAGTAGAAATCCCACATGATGAAAATAGGCATTAACTGACATAAAACAAACTAGCTAGGTATGGAATCTGATGTCATCAAAACCCTACACTGTGGAAGGTGTTCTACATGCCAAAGGTAAAACTAGGACACATCCCATATAGAAAAATGGTTTAGGTGATACCAAGAGTTTCTTTGTACTCTAGTCTCATTCTGAAGTACAGCTACTACCACAAGCATATCCATTTGGTGCTTTGCCTTGGTTCATATAGATTACACTCATTCACATAATAGTAATTAGAAAGTACCATCTCTAAGTCCTACAAACCCAAAATACTACCACTAAAAAGGGTTTCACAAGGGTTGCTGATCGAGTATAATTCATAGCTCATTCTTGAAATGGGTAACATGCTAGGACTATTAGGGTCACTTCAATATTAACCTTTTTTTATATATTTAAGGTTCCATATTAGTCTTTCATGGAAGGGTACCCACTTTGGGTCTACCGATCCAAGATATTCATTCTTTCATTCAATCAAGACAAGGGTTCTTACGCATACCATGTCAAGATATGACATTCATAATATTATTTATTCAATATTATTCAAGTACCAAGTATACTAAGTCTACAAAAACACAAGATACAACATCATTTCATAAAGACTCTTTTTAGTTATTTAGCATCACATATCGCAAATATAGAAGAAGTACTTTTAATCACATCATTATAAAATCCATAAAAGATCATATAGACATCAGATGAGCCTCTTTACATTATACATTCACATATACCATAACATGATTATACCACAATTCTCATAATATTGTCGATAAGGCCACGTTCATAACATTTATAAAAATTAAGCACCGCCACCATAAGTGTACCATACCATTCAATGGCAATTAGATATAAATTTTACATTAGATAAACGAATTAGGTCAACTTACAACCTTTCAATAGCCACAATCACCATCCCTCAAAATCTCCAACAAGTTCACATATTAATAGAACTTACAAATTACAACGTCCATAAGACTAGACCACCGATTCATCAATATCAATGATTCAACAAAACTAAATGTGAATATCAATAATATAAAGTACTCTATGAACAATTCCAACAATGATAAATATATAATTCATTAGCCCATAACAATCTGAACATGAATTGAACATAATTAGATCATATTCAATATACCCACTTCAGAGCCAAAATTAGAATATCAAGAATAACATGGGTTCATGGAATTTTTTTTATCATAAAATCAACAATTAACATTGAATACTTCATAAATCATATATTTAAACCTTTGAATGCAAGTACCCATGCTTAGAAATTGAAATAGGATCTTAGGATTTTTAAGATCTTTTGAAAAGCTTTTGAAATTGGCTCCTTCAATGAGAAAAGAATCAAGGATGAAATAATCATACCTTATTGAAGTTGCATCCAAGATATTAGCTTTAAAAGCTTTGAGAATTTGACTTTCTTCCTTTTAACTTGAAGGTTCTTTAACGGAAGATTTAACTAGAGAGAGAATATAGAGAGAAGGGAGAGCATATATATTTTTTTAATTCTGATTGAGGGTTGGGGTTTTCGATAAGGATAATGGGTGTATGATGACCTGAAATAAATATATAATACACCCCCAAAATATCAAAAAAAAAACTACATTAATTGGACATTTTTAAACAAGTCAAAATTAACTTTTATTTTCACAATTATTGTTGAGGAACACGTCCTCGTCACAGAGGTTTTCCCTGAAGTTTTGGAAAATAATTTTGGGACAATATGGTATGTGATGTTCTCCACCACACGAAGATAATTTTTTGCGCATTGCTGGAGTAAGTTCGCGACGCGGACCCATAAGCTAGTGTCGCAAGCTGCCTTGGACGCATCTTAGCCAAGGTTTGGGTCTTCCTAAAGGACCCTTAGGTCGGTATTTGGGGAGCCGTGCCCAGACGTTTTAAACTAAACATGTTCCTATAAGTTTTAGGTTCATGCCCACTTAGTATAGACTCCAACCAACACACCAAAACACATACAACAAACAAGGACACACTAGCACACAGAATCCTACTTTTCGAATGTCTTGGTCGTCTCTTCATGTTAAACTTCAAAACTCTTTCAAACTGACTTCTAAATCTATTATTTATCATTTTAACAAGTTACTAACTGAAGAAACACAAGTGAACCTTTAGAACAACCTTGTTCATTGTTAGTGTTGTAACATTCTCCCCAAGTTGAAAAAAGTTCGTCCTCAAATGAAACTAAAACACTTTAAACACTTTCTAGGTTATAAGAGTCATGACTAGCAGATCACAATCATACAACATCAATACAAATTTCAAATATCTAGGAGGATCATCAACTCCACATATAGAGGTTAAAAATACAAAATGAACTAAGAAGTACATATACGACCCATCATGCATTAAGACTCAACATTTCTTATTTCATAGTGGAGGAATTTCCTTCTCGACATACCATCATGCTCATCACAATGTTTTTAAACACAACATGCCAACTTCTTATAAAAGAACAATTATGCAACATTTTAAAATATTCTTCTTTAAATATGCTCATAAGTGTACTCATGCAACATTTAGGCAATTTTACTAAAGATGCAAAACAACATGAGAGACCCATTTATTAAACTCATTTTACCCATATAAATACAAACTCATGAAAATATGCAATGTCATAAGGAATCATGAAAGCTCATTTTTTAACAAGAGTTTCCCAAAACATGCTGCATGAGACTAGAAATTTCTAACTCTTAAGAATGGAATAGAAGAGAAGAGACAAAATCCATTAACCCCACTATTCACCATACTCCCCACTTGGGGAAAATCCATCTACTCTATCATGAAGAACACAATAAACTCTTATCACTCTGGTGAGGAATTATAACTTATTTGCACCATTATTCGAATTTTCTTCCTTATAGCTTCGAGAGCATAGAAGTGAATCTGCTTTCGTTCACCCACAGCTGGACCATTATAAGAAGCTTTCTTGACATCTCTTCCCCTAGAAGAAAATGTAGGACAATCTCTCACCTTGTGATCATTCTTTCCACATCCAAAGCACCCAATAGTACCGGCTAAACACTTCCCAAAGTGCTTCTTCACACAATTTGAGCAGGTAGGTTTATCATGTTGGAAACCACCAGCTCTATCATAGTTATCCTTAGGAGAACTACGAACATGTTGATTCGGAGCCCTCTTCTTAAACAAAGGTTGACCTTTCTCATAGGTTCTTACCCTCTTCACATCTACACCTCTCCTCCCAAGTGTATACTCCACAATAGATTGAACATACACAATGGGCCTAGATAATGTCATGTCACCACGGAGCTACCATTGTTGTATGGAACTATTCCATTACAAGACCGGAAACGCCATTCAAGAACCTACTCATCTTATCTCTAGGGTTAGACACCAAGGATGGAACATATTTAGATGAAAAGGTAAACTTTATGGAATACTCCTCCACACTCATATTACCTTGTCTAAGGTTTATAAACTCCAAAAACATAACTTTTCTTTTCCTACGGGGAAAGTACTTTCCTAAGATGACTTCCTTACATTTGTCCGACTATATAGGACCCGATTCAACCACCCTATTATCTTCCATTGTTTGTACCACACTTGCGAAACCTCTTTCAATTATTATGAAGCCAAGTCCGCTTTCTACCTAGAAGACACCCACATTATATGTAATATCATAAAACCTAATCCAAAAATTATTGGGAATCCTCTATAACCTTAGAGCCAACAAAATTCGGAGGATTCATCCTCACAAAGTCCCTCAACGTAGAGGTGATGGTACTATCAAAAGCATTTACCCTAGGCCCCATATCTCTATTTGCTTGAGCAATCATTGATCGGACTAGGGCAACAAGAGCTCCTCTAACCTTCTTGTTACTCATGTTTGGGGAACCACCAGAACCTCATTCTTTTGATTAGCTATAAGGAGTTTCTCACCTTAAGAAACTTGATCACCTTGGGGAACTTTTTCACCTTGGGAGGAACTCCCTCATTCAACACAACATCTTCATATCTCCTTGCAATTTCCCTTCTTGTATTCATACCCTATAACACAAGAGAAGAGATAAATATAAGATACTAATAACCTGAACTTTATGGCACGACACACAAGTAATGAAGATAGTGAAACTTCTATTATCCTATAGTCTCTCGCTCATAGATTTGTTGGAACTCACAAATATAAACAAGACTCTACGAGATGTGGCCTCATAAGACTTGTGATCCCTAAAGACTAATTTATAACCTTATGCTATGATACAATGTTTTTTACGACCCGACAGCACCCCCAAGTCGCCACACGGTATACTCGACCTCTTGGAGGTCTTTTACACGCCTCTTAGCTTTCATTCATTACATAAGTATGAAAAATAATGCAGAAATTAAAACTTTTTACAAATAAAGTCCACTAGAAAAACTCTTTTATAAGACATAAGAAAGAAAGTAAGTATCATCATAAGCCATTGTAGGCTCAAACATTAGGACAATCAAATTAGGGTCACACTCTTACATCAATTTGAAACTTATAGTCTAATACAAAGTCTTTAATAAAATTAAATAAGACATAAAATCCATGTCCTCGAATATATGAGGACATGCCAATATAGAGAGAAATCTACTTCCCGAGCTTCCACTCTAGGAATCATACTGCCACGACCTACACTTGTAGACATAGAGAAACATATTTAATTAGCCTAATTGATGAACTAAGTATGCTGAAGATGCAAGAAAACAATGCAAAAAGAGACATTTAGTATAGAAACATGCTTTCATGACATTTGAATAAAACCTTTATTATAAGAGTCAAAGATACATACACAAGTTGACATTCACATATAAAGTAAGACCACCATCATTAAGTAACACAATTAAACATTTAGACCCTCTACCTAAAATTGTACTATGAACCACCTAGGTAAGACATGAAGAGACCGCCCATATAACCTCTCAAATACACACTTAAGATTTTCCCTAGCAATCCTTGCTAAGAACGATTCTAACTCAATACACCTTTAATAAGTAAATATCATTCATTTAAGCTATTTAAAAGACATCTAAACAAATAGGGACTTCACATTATGGTCTAGGAATATATAGGGAACTCACTTTATCATATTTAAAGCCTACTCATGCCATGTGGAGACAGCGACTCATTCCCGTACTTACACATTGCAGAACCTAACCAATAGTAAAGTGTACATCCCACATGATGAGAATAGGCATTATCGAACATTTACAAAACTAGCAAGGTATCGAATTCAGTGTCATCAAAACCCCACACCGTGGAAGGCTTTCTTCTTACGAAAGGTAGATATAGGACACATCCCTTGTAGGCACGTGAATCAAGGGATATCAAGGGCTTCCTCGTGCTCTAGTCTCATTCTCAAGTAGAGCTACTACGACATGAATATCAACTCGGTGCTTTGCCTTAGTTCTTATAGAGTACTTCATTCATATAATAATAATTGAGAAGGTACCATATCTAAGTTCTACATGCTCAAAATACTACTACCATGAAGGGGTCTGCAAGGGCTTCCAATCATGGTTCATAAGGATAGCTCATGCATGATACGGGTACCATGCTAGGACTATCCATTTTACTTCAATATTAACCTTATTTTCATATTCAAGGTTCCATATTAGTATTTCATGGAAGGGTACCTACTATAGGTCTACCTATGGTAGACATTCTTTCTTTCATTTAATCCAGACAAGGGGTTGTAAACCTAGCATGTCAAGAAACAACTTTCATGATATCATTTGTTTAATATAATTAAAGTACCAATAGGGAAAACTATGTCTACCAGCACAAGATACAACATAATTGTATAAAGACTCTTTTTAGTCCTTAATCATCATATATCCACAATTTGAGAAGAGGTAGCTTCAATCCAAGCATTAGCACCCATAGAAGACCATATAGAAATCACATGAGCCCCTTCACCTTATACATTCACATTTATCATAACATGATAATACCCACAATTCACATAATAATGCCGACATGGCCACGTTCATAACATTTATAACAATTAAACATCGCTACCATAAGTGGACCATATCAATTAAAAGAAATTTGGTATAATTTCTTCATTAGATAAAGGATTAATTTCAACTTACGACCTTCCAATAGCCATAATCACCATACCTCAACATCTCCTCTAATTCCACACATTAATAGAACTTACCAATTACAATGTCCATTAGACAAAACGACAAACTCATCCATACCAATGATTCAACAAAACTCAATATGAGTATCAGTACTATAAAGAAAACTATGAACAATTTCAACAATGATAAACATATAACTCATTAGCCCATAACAATCTGAACACGAATTGAACATATTTAGATAATAATCAATATAACCACTTTCAAGCCAAAACTACAAATTCAAGTAATACATGAATTCTTGGAACATTTTTATCATAAAATCATCAACTAACATTGAATAAATCATAAATCACAGATTTAAACCTTTGAATGCAAGAACCCATGCTTAGAACTCTAAATAGGGTTTTAGGATTTTTGAGATCTTTTGAAAAGCCTTTGAAATTTGCTCCTTTAATGAGTGAAGAATCAATGATTAAATCACCATACCTAATTGAAGTTCTATCCTCGAAATTAGGTTTGAAAGCTTGGAGATATTAACCTTCTTCCTTTGAACATGAAATGGAAGATTTAACTACAGAGATAATTTAGAGAGAAGGGAAAGCGTATATTTTTTTTAAATTCTGATTAAGGGTTGGGGTTTTTGATTAGGGTAATGGATGTATAATAACCTAAGTTCAATATATACTACACCTCAATATATCCAAAACACCCCTACATTAATTGGACTTTTTAAACAAGTCAAACTTAGTTGTTATTTTTGGAAATATCATAGGGGAATAAGTCCGCGTTGTGAAGGTGTTCCCTGATGTTTTGGAAATAATTTTTGGTAAAGTAGGGTGCATGATGTTTTTTGCAATGCGGAGAGAATTCTCGCGCACTGTTGTAGCAAGTCCGCAATGCGGACACACTCTCACAAGCTACTGTCGTAAACTGCCTTGGCAACATCTTTGTCAAGGCTTGGATCCTCCTCAAGGACCCTTACGTCAGTCTATGGGGGGTCGTGCCCAAATATTTTGACCCCAAAATATTTTCCCTCTTGGGTTAGGGTAATCCTCACTGATTTTATACTCCAAAACACACCAAAACACATAAAACAAACAAGGACACACAAGTCTAGTTTCCGAACATCTTGGTTGTCCGTTGACATTCAACTTCAAAACACTTTAAAACTTCATCATTTTAACAAGTTACAAACTGAAGAAACACAAATGAAGATCTAGATCACCCTAGTTCATTTTGAGGGTTGCAACATTTTTTTTCTATATAATTATTTTTCGTATCATATACACTTTTACCTTCGTAGGGTTTTTTTAACTTTGAAGTGTAAGATATTGAAGAGTCGCATAGGAGGGGATGAGGGATGAAAATAATTATGTTATTATATATATATATATATATATATGTATGTATGTATGTATGTATGTATGTATGTATGTGTATATACACACACATACACTTATATACTTTTTTAATGATTTAAATCACAAAAAGGAAAGTATCCATCCTAGATTTATATTTTTAATTGAATAATTATGAAAAAAGGATTTAAAATTTTCAATCGTGATACTTCTGTTAAAAGCAGATATAAATAAATAAAATTAACCTTTATATGATGCCAAATCTGAATCTTTTTAATAGAAACCTTTATATCTATATCTTAAAATAAAAATAATGAGTCAATGATTAAGTCTTAGATACATAGCCTTAATTTCTTGAATAATACATAAAGTATTTAAAAATCAGAAGAAAGATAAAAGGATACAAATAATCATAATCTACATGTTATTTTTAGGTATACTAGGGGGGTTTGCTTGAACGTCATTTATAGGTTTTGTTTAAGCCATAGTCATAGGTGTGAAGGTACCAAGGTATAGTTAAACTGGTAGGCTACAAGTGCTTGCTAGAGTTTTTGATGAAGCTAATTTCATATGTTCCAAAACCGCATTTTATTTACGAAATCACCCTTATTAACTTTATATTATTAGTAATAATCTCAAACATTAGGAGAAAACTCTCTAAATGTGTGGTATATAACCTACGTTATCATGGTTTTTGAGTGTACTATCTGAATGTGTTGTAGATTAGGTGTACTGCCTATAGAACCAATATTTAAAGAAAAATAAAAAAGGAATATAATTGTTGACCAAACCGAAAAACAAAATAAATTAATTTGATTAAATAAAAAAATAAAAATCGTAACTAGTACATGCATTAGAATTCTAAATGACAAAATTAATAATAGTAAAATTTAGAAGTCAAGAAATAAATATTCAATATCATTGTTTTATATGGTGAAATTAATATATATATATATATATGTGTGTGTGTGTGTGTGTATATTCACACACACACTTTACGATTAATAATGTCGCTAGACCATAAATGTAACAACCCGTACCCAAAACAGACCAAAAATTAGTTTTACATAAAAATCTGCAGGTGCTACCAATGGTGGCATCGAGGACCGTAGCCTGAACCACGGTCCGTCCAGCACAACCATCGATGGAATCAGAAACTCCCAAAAATTTCAGCCTAGAAAAATTGGTGAAGTCTTGGACGAGGGACGGACTTACGATCCGTAGGTCAAATGATAGTCCGTAGTCCGTGACCGTCGATCAAGACTCCGTTAAACCACTCTATGAAAAGACCTATGATTGACCAGCATGGTTCGTAGATGGACCTACGGTTTGTAGGTCTGATTAGGTGGAAAATTAGCAGCCAGTTAAAGGGAAATATAGTTTGGTCAACTTAAAATGTTTATAACTCT